CCTGTGGTAACCAGCTCAGTCACAGGTCTACAAGCATCTCAGAAGTTCATCCGTAGCTCTGCCCCTCGATGGTTACCTCTGGGGCAGCCCACAAGCCTCCCCGCGGAGGGGCTCCAGCTCAGCCGTCCTACCTGTCATTCTGCACCCAACTTCATCAGCCGAGTGGAAACCCCTCTGCCACACCCCCTCTCATTCTGCACCTGCCAGTACATGAGCCATCTCACTTCCAGCCTGGCCTGTCTGCGCGGGGCATGCACAGCTTGAGTGGGAAATGCAGGAACAGGCAACACCCGCTCACCTCCCATGGAATCTCGTACACAGCGGCAAAACTGCTAGAAAGCCGAAACTGTCAGGACACTCAGCCTTTCCTCCTTCTCATCTCTGAAAAGTGGCAGCACAGGGCCCCAGATCAGCTTTTGTGCTGTGGCTCAGGAGCCATGGGGGACAAGGAGGAACAGGTTGATGCACTGCCCAGTCCCACCCCAGACCCCCATCCTCCAAGGCAGGTTGGCAGCACACCCTGAGTGCTCTCGCTGCGGGCAGCAAGGGCCCAGCAGCGCTGCCAGAGGCGAGATACACCCACTGCAAACAGCTGGGATGAGCCACAGGACTGTCAGAGAAGGATTTTATTATATAAAGAGGGAAGAGGAGCAACCATCTGTCAGGGCTATAGGGTCACACCCTCTACCAGCCGAAAGCCTCACACTAAAAGCACTGTAACATTACTAGCACCTTTGGCAGCCTCCGCATTGATACCAAAATGCTTTTCCTGCATCACCTGCAGGTCCAGGATTCCTCAGGAGATAATAAACCCATCTTAGGTGTCTGCCTTTCACCAGCACTCCCCAATATACCCCAAGGCAGAATACCGTACAACAGCTACCCACCCAGACCACTCCATCCCCTCCAGCCTGTGGCTCCCACAGCAGCCCTGTAGGAGTGGCGTGGGGGCAGCTGGCAATGCTTTCTGCAGTTTTCTGGCTTGGGACAGGACTTGGGCTCTGGGAGAAAAGCAGAGAGGCAAGGAGGCCAGACAGGGACATTGTCTACAACGAAATCACAGAAGGCAGCAGACACAATCTTCTCTTTGCTGCTGTCTGTGGCTGGCTCGCAAGACTGTACCTGCAGGAAAGGTTAACGGTCCTTCTAGGCAATGGGCTGTGACCCACCGTCTGTCTGATGGGCGTTGGTCCCTCCTGCCCTTTGATCCCACAGCCCCTGTTCCCCCCCGAACCTCTTCTGTGTCAAGGGACTGACTTTCCTCCTTGGTCTTACGCAGGACAAGCTGGGGGAGATGGGACAAGATCGGAGCCACCAGCCAGACCAGGTGACTCAGTTTCTCTGCCCACAGAGAGCACAAAGAGGTGTCAGAGGGAAAAGGGAACACTCACTGCCCCTCCACCTGCCCAGCCACCCAAGCCAGGCTGGCAGCACAGGAGGGACAGGGAGAGCAGTCCACAGGTCCCCAAACCAGAGAAGAGAGAAGGGGCAGCCACCAAAGAGCAATGGAGTGTGGCCCAGGGGTTCACGCCATCTGTCTCTCGACGTCGAGGAAGATGGGAGATGAGCAGAGGCATTCTGGTCCCTTCTGAGAGGTGCTGTAGGGCCCAGCCTCTCACGCAGTACACAGCACGGCATCCGCGGCAGCACCTGCTCTAGCTAACAGACAGCAACAAGACACAAGCTCTGACAGCAGATGCAAGATGGGGCAAGAGGGATCCAGGCCTGGTCCACACCTTTGAAACCAAAACGCATTCTGAAACCTTTTACAAAATCCTGTTAGAAACCATTTCTGCACGGGACACCACGAACACTGCCCGAGTCCTGCGAGCATCCAGGGCTTCTGGACAAAGGATGCCCTTGATGACGCTCTGATGACAGCATCACCCCTGCCCAAGAGAACAGCAACGCCAGGGACAGTTTGCACCAACCCCACTACAGGCGAAAGACCCTCTTCTACAGCGCTGCACCGCCCCAGAGCTGCTGCAAGCCAAGAGCCAGGGACAGGGGACAGCAACATTCAGAGACAAAAAACAAGGGGCATCAAGGGGACTGATGTCCAGCACGGCCGGACTACAGCAGCCTGGTCAGTTCTTCTTGCTGCTGGGGCTCTTATTCACGAACAGACTGACTCTGCTGGCAGACGACACGGACAGAGAAGGAGACTCCAGCTTCACCTTATCCAGCAAAGTCTTCTTTATGGCTGCTGGGGAGATCTGCTCTTGGTCTGCCAAATGCTGCAGCTCCCTGCAACGGGGTGGTAGGAGAGAAAGACATAGCAAAAGGAAGAGAAAGGGAGTGGGGGGTTGAGTTTTGCAGGCCCTTTGGGACTGCCGGGGTGCCCACCTGGTCCGGATGCAGGAAGCCTCCACGGCATTGATCAGGAGGGAGCGGAAGCTTGATGGGGGGGGGGCGGAAGCCGCCGCTCTCCAGGAAGTGCAGAGCGTGGATGGTGGCTCCCCCGGGGGAGCAGACGTTGTCCTTCAGCTGACCGGGATGCTGCTCAGATTCCAACAGCATTTTGGCAGCACCCTGTAGCAAGGAAGAGAGAACAGCTGCCAGAGCTCTGGCCGAGGAACCGACTGTCCAGTGCTCCTGTTCTCCCTGCACAGAGCAGCCCCCAGCACTCACAGCGGGCAACCCAGGGCTCCCGCCCACGAGCCACAGATGGGCCACCCTGGCACTCTTCAGAGCCGAAAAGGCTCAGGGAGCAGCCCCAGCTCCCACAGCACCCCCAGCACCAGCAGACTGCTGCGGACACTCCCTGCATCCCCTCCCCGGGACCTGTGCGAGTCCAACCAAACGCGGTTTTAAAGTCGATGCAGCGAGAGGACTGAAATCGTTTCAAAGTGCAATGTGCTCCGCACAGAGCAGGCACAGGCTCGGCCGTGTTCCGGAGGAGATACTGACCAGCAGCGCCTGTGCTCCCAGCCGAACAGCCAGCCTGCGGGGAAGTCCCATCTTCACTCCCCCATCCGCCAGAGCATCCAGGGCGGTGAACGCCTGGGACCAGACAGAGGAAGAAGGTGACTGAAAGTCTCTACTCCAAGACTGATGTTCTCAGGGAGGAAAGAATCCAGGGCTCCAGGATCACACCGTGACTCCTGTCGCTTACAGACTTGACAGAAACCGGCCCCTTTACCGCACAGGGGCCATGCCAGGCTTCCCTCCCACTAGTTCCAGCTCAGGAGCGGGCGGAACGGGAGCAACTCAGCCCCTGGGTCATACTAACTACAGGCCCACGTTTTGCCACATGGACACGTGGACGCTGCACGCTGGCTACGGACTTCAGACTCATCCGACTGGAAATGGACCTCTGCTGTTGACCCAAACTGGTTATAAACTGGATACTGGGATTACGTGTCCCATCACGAATGTCAGTGATGAGAAAAACAAGAAATGACAAACTGAAGTTGCAAACTTTCACCGCACACAAAGCTCTCCCCAGGACTGTCCCAAGGTGAAGAAGCAGCACATACATATGCAGGGCCGCTGCCGCTGAGCCCCGTTACAGCATCTATCAGGTCCTCCTCCACCTCGGTGCAGAAGCCCACACTGGCCATCAGCTGTTCCAGGAGCTTCCCATCCTCCACATCCGCGTGAGTCCCGGTGGCATAGACTGTGGCACCTTCCCGGACAATCACAGGGGTGTTGGTCATGCACCTGATCACTTTCGGGGTGGGGCAGAAGGTAGAGAGTTTCTTAGGGCAGAAAATTATTGGACAGAAAGAAAGAAAGAAAGAAAGAAAGAAAGAAAGAAAGAAAGAAAAGCTTTAGTCATACTTGGCATACCAAAACGGCTGTGGCTGTCTAGGAAGGGATTCCCCAACACAAGCAGAGGGGAAAAGAGAGGCTCCTGTATCCCAGACTCCCTGCTTTGAGCCAAAGCGGACAAAACTGAAATGTGAACTCTTCAGTGGCACCAGCAAACAGGAAGCTGTGCAGAGCTGCTGTTGGGAGCAGCGCCCAAACACCTCAGACCCACAGCAACTCCCAGTCTCCAAATCAGCTTCTGCAGACCCTGAGCACACAGTCTGCAGAGATCCAGCGGAGACGACCCACCTCTGGAGGGAAACAAGGTCTGGCAGCGCCTCGTGGAGCTCCAGAGCTGGCACAGAGGCTCCTACAGCTTCTGTCGAGGACGCGCAAAGAGGACACAAAGCCACCATCCGGCTGCGGCCGGAGCC